GGCCTTGGCATTCGGCTTCGCTGGAGCTGCCTTCGCTTCGGATTTAGCTTTAGCTTTTGCCTTTGGTTCCGGAGCTGGGGTAGCTGCTGCCTCATGCTTGAAAGGACAATTCTCTCTTGAGCACGAGCCTGTGTTCTTGAACGAGTAGCATATCCTGTTTCCTCCTCCTCCAGATGGACTTGGAGTTCTCGTCCTCGGCGTGAAGGGTCGCTCTGGAGTCTTCTTCGAGTGACTGAATGGACACTTATCGCCATTTCGACACCCTGCATCTGTGAAATGGAACTTGCAGCGGATTTGCTTCTTGCTTTTGTCACCTCTGTTGTCCGCTGACTCACTCCTCGTCTTCTTCTTGGGCTTTGGCTTGGTCTTCGCATGACTCTTCGCTTTGCTTTGAGGTAGTACAGGCGCTGCTTTATCCGGCTTGGTCGGCGAAACCTTGACCTTTGCGGATGGAGCTGCGTTAGGCGTAGGTTTCTCGGGTACCTTGGCCGGTGCAGCAAGCAAATCCTTGCCCTCAAGCATCTGGCGCAAGCCAATTTGGGTCTGAGTGAGATTTGACTGTTCTCGTCTCCGCATGATAGTACGATCAATGATCTTCATCAGGTTGTCGTACGATCGGTCTTCATGATTGTAGGGCAAGTGTTCGTAATGCATGCCCAACTCCATCTTCATTGCGGGCGAGTCCTTGATCTTGCTGTACAAGCAATCACGGAGAGCTGTTTTGGATGGAATGTCCTCTGGTCTCATCCGTCCCAGAACTTCCAACCACGTCTGCTTGAACGTATGAAGCTTGTTGTCGCCTTGGTACTGGAGCTTCACCAAATACTCAAGAGTGATGATCATGTCAAGACGATCATGCGTTCGAAAACTTTCATACATCATCGCAATGACTTGTCGTCCTTTGATGATCTTCACGTCAGGCCTGCTGATGTAATCGTTAGCCTTCCGGTTCACCTCAAGGTACAGGTCAGCTGATTTGTCACCACCGGCACGTAGCATTGCGACCATGGCGATCCCCAATTTGACGTCTATGCTCTTGAACTTCTTGTGTCCTGAATCATTCAATGCTTCGACATCAGGGAATGGGTTGAACGCTGGTGCCAGCCATAACATCCAGTCCTCATGATGTGGGTCGGCTGATGCCCCTAAGACATTGGCCGTGCACACGGATCGCCAGTTGTTGAGATGAGTGAGAGTAGGCCATGGAGGAACGGTCACTTTGTCGGCTTCCCTCCTGGAAATTCTCACCTCTGTGACTTCAGGATCCGCGTCTCCATCAGGATCACGCGCATGCGAGCCAGGATCCGATTCAGGTTTGCCTCCACCGCTTTTCTTCTTATCATCATCATCGTCAGGCGGGTCAGGAGGGTCATACCCCGTGCCGGTTCCTTCATCGTGCTCTCCATCTTCGTTCTCGTCGCCACCCTCGTCACCGTCACCGTCTCCATTATCCTCCTGAATCGTTTCAGCGAATAACTTCCATTCATCACGATCAGCTCTGAGACGTTGCTCGGCTTTCTGGGCCTTGAGTACTTCGCTTCGCAGATCGGCAATCTTCTCCTCGTACCGTTCTGCGACCTCTTTCTCGATCTGACGTCTTCTTGCTTCATGAATGGAATCGTCATAGGCAATAGGGGGACCGATGAGGTCGTTGCCCTTCGTAGATGCGGTAACACCGTCGATACCAACAGGTCTTGAGGAGCTGGCCGATGCTGTGGACTTCGATCCCAACATCCCGCGATCCCCCAAGAGTTCGCGTAGCTGTCGATCACGCACGGCTGCCGCATCACTTTTCCCATGAAATCCGCTTGGTATGCCGAACAAAGTGGCTGCACTAGGCGTGGAACGCGCAAGTGCTGGGCTGCTAATACCTGGCACGTAGTGCTCGGGCATTGCATCCGCCACGATTGGCATTGAACTGCGGCCAGTGAAGAAGTTTCCACCGGTGAATGGAATTCCATCCATCACAAGGTTCTTGTCCTTGTCCGATTCCGAGAATGCGAACTTCTCTTTGGCGACTGGACTAACTTGACTTGGGGACCGTATTTCAGGGGATCGTACCTCATCTCCTACGGAAAATGCAGGCATTACTTCCTTTCCTACGTGCTCCCAGCCAGACTCAGTAGTCCTCGAAGACATGGGCATGCTCGAAGGTCGCGTCGCTCCTCCGTGATTGGAGTTTCGCGCTGCCTCCAATTCGCTGCGTGTCCTCGCTTGAAGATCTTCTTGTGCTTTGAGCGTTTTCCTGAGTTCACTCAGCTCGTCGTGCAAGGTAGGCAATGATCGCCTTGCATGATCTTCATTCTGATGAAGTCGGTCCTCTGCTTCTTGCATCCTCTTCACAGCCATTTTGCGGTACTCTTCCTCTTCACCAAGACGTTCGCGAAGCCGAAATCGTTCTTGATCAATGGCTGCGCTGTTCCCAGCTAGCCCTTGGATCTCGTTCACAGCCCGCAACTCCTGGTTCTTGACCAAGTGGAATCGTTCCTGCATTGCTTGTAAGGCTTGTTCCGAACTTGCTGTGTTTGACCGGAGGAACAAGTTCTCTCTGGCATGTTCATGAAGTTCATGAGTCAGACGCTCATACTCACGTGCCATAAGCTCACCATCGCCTTGCGCTCTTGCCTCCAACTGCACAAAGTTAGTGGCTGCCTCCGTGCGGAACACGTGTAGCTGTTGAGCTAACTCCTCGGCAACGGCATGTGCTTGACGTTGTTGAGCAGAGTTCTGTTCATCCATGCGAAACAAAGCTGTTTCATAGTCTCGCTTCATCTCCTGATTGACATTGTTGATGTGCCTCATGGCTAAGCATGCATGGTCACGTTGTCGTTCCAATTCTTCAATGCGAATTCCAGATCCTTCATCTTCTTGTTGCATCTCCTTGATCTTGTCCATCAGGGTTTGGACGATTCCTTCGTATTCTTGCACCTGACTGCGATAGTACATCTGCTGTGCAAGGTTCGATGCTTCGAACTGTTGCGAAATCGTCAGTTCCTGATAAGCGTTCGGACCATCAGCTATGGCAGGCGTGGCCACGGATGAAGCATCACCACGTGCAGGAATCGTATCCAGAGTCATATCCAGATCGTCAGCATTGCGTGGTTGATTGGTAACCATCCGATTCCAAGTCATGGACTTGTCACGCCCACGAGTAGCCGAAGTCCTCGATCGTGCTGAAGAGCTTCTCGAAGATGATGGTCTTGACTTCTTTTCCAAGGTCTTGACTCCTTTGTCCTTGGCCCTGGACGTAGTCCGAGGTGCCTGAAAACCAGACGCTTCGGCCCGTCGTTCTGAAGCCTTGCCCGTCCTCGAACCTGTGGATGTCGGACGCGAAGGCGTAGATGCTCTTGGTAGACTCTTTGCTTTCCCCTTGGGAACTGCCTTTGCAATGGCAAGCGCAGAAGATTGACCTTTGTCATCTTCCGTGGAGCTATCAACGGATTGCACCACTGTGTCATCAGCTGTTGACTCACCAACGGCTGGCGCTGCCACATCGGCACCGAAAGTCATTGTCGTATCTTGGCTTGATCCTGAGTTCATTGTGGTCGTAGTAGATCAAGTAGTCGTTGCTGTAGAAAGGCAGAGCCGCGTACGGCTGATAACCTGCGTGGGGGATTGATCTCGACTTGGTTGCTGCTCTCCCCACCAGAGCTGTAATGAATGTAGGTGTGGCTGGCTAGCACTCTCCACAGACTGGACCCTGTCTCTCCCTCTTACTTCCACACGTGCGATCCTATGCAGGCAGAACCGGCGGCCGTTCCTTTTGCACTCACTGCCGGCGGCGGTTCGTCTGTGCAACGGGATAGCTCTGATTGCTCAGGATAGAAGACACATATAGCACTTAGCTATGGGCATTGACTTGAGCCAAACGTTGCGTTGGCGGTCACATAGAAAGGTAAAGATGAGGGATGCGTAGCATGCCCCCTAGAGTCGAGGGACGCGTAGCGTGCCCCCTTCTCTTGCACTTTACACGGTCTTGCTCACAGCTCTTATAGTGACACCTTAGAACTTGACAAGGCATCGCAGTCCGTTCGCAATATATATATATATATATATAGTATATATAGTATATATAGTATGTATATGTATATATATATATATTATAACGTATATATAGTGTGTATATATATATAGTATATATATATATAGTATATATATATATATATACTGTATATGTGTGGTATATATATATATACAGTATATAAATATATAAACATATATATACATATATACTACATATAGTATATATATATAGCCTATATATATATAGTACATACAATATATATATATTACTATATGTAATTATATGTAATGTTTATATATATATATATACATATATATTACACTATATATATATATACTATATATATATACACTATATATACTATATATACTATATATACTATCTATACTATATATACTATATATACTATATATACTATATATACTATATATACTATATATACTATATATACTATATATACTATTATATATATACAGTGTTTATAGTATATATAGTATATATAGTACATATAGTTGATATAGTACATATATTAAATGTAATAGATAGAGTATATAGTATATGTATATAATATTTATAGAATATATATAGTATATATATATATAGATATTATATATAGCATATATATAGAAAGAGAGAGAGAGAGAGAGAAAAAGAGAGAGAGAGAGAGAGAGAGAGAGAGTATCCTTCCTTCCTTCCTTCCTTCCTTCCTTGTGTCCTTGCCTTCTTGTTTCCTTGCTTCCTTCCTTCCTTCTCTCTCTTCTTCTTTAAAGAAAAAGAAAGGGCCCCCCCCCCAAAAAAAAAAGCCCAAAAAAAATCAACGTGCTGACCCGATTGTGCCCGAACGGGATGCGAAAACGCAAGTGGAATCACGAGCTCTGTCCGCCACCCGCATCTCGGTCATAACTAGTTGCACCTCTCTACCTTCAGCAATTCCGAAGCATATCAATTCGGTCGGGCTAAGGGCTCTACTCCACATTCATGTCTGAGTCTCTATCGGCCTGAGGCCGCAGGATGTCGAAGTCGGAGACTGCAGAGGCAGAGCCACAGCGACCGCCAAACGCAATGGGCCTGATGTGAAACCCGCTTCAAAAAAGAGCTCACCGTCTTCATGCGCGACACCACTCGGGATTCATTGTCGGCCAAGGTGCTGTACATGGTCCCCACTTTGCAGCATGTCCCCAGTGATGTTGAAGGTGCAGAAAGCTCCCTCCAAGACACAAGACTGTCGAGTTGGTATGACTTTACCGTCACATCTGCATCCCTCGTGACAAGATACACTCGTCTTGAATCCTGAAAACCTCAGCAGTTCCAGCAAGAACATCAGGATCACTCCCTAAGGACGTTGCTCTCCGCAAGCTCCGATACGCGCCCCGCAGAAGCAAGTTACGGTCAGCCCGGTCGTAGCTCTGCCTTGACACAGTGAAATACGTCTGCCGATTCGGCGCCGGAGACGCGCAGCAGACCTGGACCAGCAGGGAACCGCTGTGTCCTCTGTCGGACTGCTTACAGCACCAGGCCTGCATCCTGGCAGTATTCTGAATTGGAGTTGCACTTCGACACATCGGAATCGTCCGACGAGTCATAGGCGGGGCAGAAGCAAACCAGGAAGCTTCCCTCCTGGCGCTTCAAGCCGTCACACTCTCCGGATGCTGGCCGGCCTAAGACATGTATCCACCCCCAAGTGTGACACGGCTTTGCCTGGTAAGCCACGCCAAATTCGAAGACGCGTTGAGTGGCGGAGGCCATTAACACACTCGCCGAACTTGGAGGGAGCATTCAAAGGAATGGAAACTTCAGAACTGTACATCTTGCTGGAGGACCCGCCATGAGAAAACACCGAGGTGCATCCGCCCATTTGGGAAGGTTTCGACGAAGGAGACGTCTGCTCCACATGTGCTTCCGGCCGGCAAAAGTCTCAGTTGCAACCATAAGCCGGTGCTCACGACACGCAGTTGGCACAGGTTAGGACCACTGCAAACAGGCTCAGGCTTACTTAGATCAGTCTTAGACCTGCAGACAACAACCTCGCTTGCTGCCTTGAATTGGCTCGCTATGCCGATGCAAACCCAACGAGCTTATGACCAGGCTGCTGGACCCGATGCGACTCTGCGAGGGCCTCGGCTGAACAGAGGAAGAAACCCCCCCCCCCTGGCCACTCTTAGGCAGGGCCAGGCTGGCATCTGGCCAGGCTGCGGTCCCCGACACGGCGATGGTGCAGGCTACGTCTTTGACGCAGCGGAAGCTTTGGCCAGGCCTAGCCCATGCTGAGTATAGACAATCAATGAAGCAGAAGCTTCAAACTCGCCAGCGGCGCGTCGCCCCGTAGGTCGATGGGCAGAACGCCACCGCGCCGCCGAGAACCAACGCCAGGTTCAGCGCGAACCTCGTCGTCTGGGTGCTCACTCGTGGCAGGACAAGGGGCCAACTTGTGTGAAGCGTGTCACTCTTGCAAATGCTGGCAGAGGGAGAAGTCACATCACGGCGAGAAAAGTCGCATCAAAGTTAGAGCTTCTTACAACCAAGTCCAGACCCCATCTAATCGCCATGAAAAGGCTTATGGAGAACAAACTCCAAAACATGGATTCTGAGTCCGATGCGCAGGGATTTCAATTAAACTTTGATTCAATACCGAGTTTACATCGCTGACCCTTGTACACGCTATGACAGATCCATTTTTGAACTGTATCATGCACAGCGCGTTACAACCCATCTAAAACAAACCCAACCCGCCGTGTCAAGCGCGACGACAGTAATCTTGGAAAAGTGGAGCTAGTCCGCCAGCGCTATACTGCAAGACCCCGTCTGAAATGCAGGGAGAAGCCTCGAGATGAAATCACTAACAAGCCGCTACTTGTAGAACCTAAAACAAGCACAGCAAGTCCAACATCATCTCAGTCCCAGGGTCGTTTTCATCTGAATCTGTACATTTCCTCTCCCACATCACTCGGCGGCTCCAGCTCCTGATCAAGTGCAGAAAGGCCTCCAAGAAACGGAGACGTGCGATATGTTCTCGTCTGTGAACAAGCAAGCGAAAAAGAAAAAGGACGCTGAGTCAGATTACCTCCGTGCCCAATCTGCACCTGAAGCATCAGCTCCAAAACCTTAATCCCCGCACCCTACACAAACGAAGTCACGGCAACACAAGGTACGGGGCGTAAGTATGGGTGTTTTCACAATTTGCTCCGCTCGTCCTCGCAACACATGACCATGGAGGCCAAAGGCCGTCGGGCATGGTACGACATGGATGGCTCGCCGGACGAGACTAAACAACGTATAATGCGCTGCTGAAGGTGGCACGCTGCTCAGGTGAAGCTAAAGTGCCGTGCTTGTGTCCTTAGCACAAAGAACATGACATGGTTGAGTCGGCATTGGAACCACATTGCATGGCTCTTTGTCATGTAGATCAATTTTCCCGAAACGCTGATTGAATTCAAGAAGAAGAAAATGCAAGCATGGCCAACAAGATGCTTCATTACGTCAGCACGGGCCTTGACAGATGAATGTTAACCAGTATCGCAACGGCGACTGTAGCAAACTACCAAGTACAAGAACAAAGTCAAGCACAACAAAACGGATCATCCCTGCCATGAGCTCTACTTCGCACCGAGCCGAGACCACTGACCACAGCCTTCATAATCCCCATGACTACTACTATCAACGGACAAGTCGTTCTGATTCTCGCAGACGACGATGTATGACCCCATCCGATGACATCCGGCCCATCCCGTGGAAAGGATCCGGCTTGCTCCACATCCCGCAGGCCCGTCTCCACGAAGGCCTGCCGCGCATCAGCCAGGGCCTGGATACGAAAAAAACCGCTGAAACCCACAAAGACAGAAAGCATGGGCTGGCGAAAGTACAGAGGACTACTAGCTGTGATCATGTCAACGCGTCCAGGCAGTGTTCTAATAGCTGAAGTTACGTCGTCAACAACCTCGAGGCACCAACTTTCGAAGAGCCGCAACCCTGACAGGCGACAACTGCTGCACAAATTCGTGTGCAACGCATCCACACGGTATGTCATCATGAAATGCCCCGGGCCTCATGCAGCTGAACGCTGAACGCCCAAGTGGCCCAATGCCTGGGTTGGAAACAGCTTTGTCCACCACTGGGCCCACCACCTACTGCAGCTTCGTCATGCAACCCTAACACGGGGCGACGGCAGTTCAAACGCAAGCAAATGAGTAAGTGCGTGGCACCTTGTAAGCCAGCACAACACTTGCGGCACCGAGGAAGCCGGCGGCTCCCTGGGCGTTATAGCACAAGTGCAACCATGGTCAACACCGACCACGCCGAAGCTCAATCGAAACCCGAGCCCGCAGCTGCTGCGATGTGGACATCGTGTCGCGTCACACGGACGAGGATGATGAGGTTGAGACTTGCACATGGACGATGAAGATGGGTGTGCCAAGGGTCTCGATTCAATCTTCTGCAACACAGTTATGCCATTGAGCTCCGCACGCTGCCGCTGCAGCCAAACTCAGCTCACCCACTCAAGAGTCTCAAGAGCACACACGCACGCACGCACGCACACACGCACACAAACACAATCATACACACTGACACACACAAGCACACGCACACGAAAGCACACGCACACGCACACGCAAGCACCCAGGCACACTCACTCACTCACTCACTCACTCACTCACTCACACACACACACACACACGTACGCACCTATACCTGTGTGCGAAGCAATGAAACACGGTTGGGAGGAAGCTGCACCAGCACACTGCAGTAGAGCTGTTTTCCATGCAGCAGGGCAAATACAGCGTGCATTTCACCTCTCCGTACTGGCTGAAGGGAACTCGTGATGGATGCTTTTGCGGTCTGACGACCGCTCCGAGCCGCTCTGGGTGTCCCACAGAGTGGCATACCACAAAATCTGACCTTGATGCACATGTTCAAGGACGGAACACGGGTGTCGTGGTTCGACCAAACTCAACACCGACCTTTAAAAGGTCACTCCATGACATCTCTTGGCCAACCTCCTGGCCGAACCTGCGTTGGTAAGCGAGCGCAGGAAAACCAGAAAAATCACAACGCTGGTATCGACTTCTTCCCGCGGCTGAGACAGTCAACTGAGTAACACGAAAAGATTAACTTCCAATATCTTCCATCAAAATCCCCCACAGCCGGGATCCGCACGCTGCAAATTTGGAAGGAACAAAGCACCGGCGCCGGAACCGAGGGGTCCCAACATAAGATCCCAGCCTGACATCGGGGGCATGTGTGAACCGAAACCATATAACTCCTCATAACGGCAACCGCGAGCTATCACAAACAAAAGCTCAAGTATGATCAAGTGCTGTCGCACAACGGAATACCTGGCACCTTTTACCACGCAGTCGAAGAAAATGCCGTGTGCGTCGGCGTTGCCCACCCTCGCTAGCAAAGCTTATGACAAAGCAAAGCCCAACACACGTGACCACGGTCACGGCATATTTACAGACCGCCAATGCAAGCCGAGCCAAAACACATCGCACCCAGTTGAAACTTTTTTGTCCAACACCAAGTGTTAGTGTCACCCATGTTTAACGCAGTGGCATGGTCGAGCTATATTAATTAGTGCACCTACAGTCAGCCCACCCTGTATGTTGCGACATAAACAAATTTGATAAACAACGTCCGGAAAACGCAAGATCGCAAGATAATGCAAGCACGGAACGCGATTAGCCTTTGAGGTCAGGTGAAGTTGTAACCCACGTCAGCACCGTGATGTGCCTGCCTTGTGGAGCTCCAGCGGTATGCGCTGCCAAAAACAGACCACCTGCAGCAGCAAACATTCATGTCTGAAAAACGCACGCTGTCGTTTGTTTGGGACGCGGCCAACGCTGCATAGACACCTCATGCAATCGAAGAACACGCGCTTTTTTTGAAACCGGACTTGATGACTGCCAGCACTGCCCTCAATCCTAAACATGTACTCACCATCTACATCACCAGGGTTTGCGTCTCCACATGAAGTAAGCAAACGGCAAAGAAAACAAGATGCTTATGTATGCGCCGCTCTTGCACCACATGACAACATGATGTTTGCTGTATGACTCCACATTGAAAACAATCCGCATCTGACAGTGTGGTATGTCTGGAGTTACTAGACAGCGAAGCCTGATTTATGTTTATGTAATCAAGGGCTGGCAATTCCTATGCTGGATTGGTTCGATATAGATTCTGCAATCGACCTGTTGGTGTTCGAAATCTTAGGGTGCTTCAAATCAGCTCATGCACGTTGCCCATGCAAAAAAAAACTGCTTCGATATGCAAGATGCCGATGCAATGGCGAGTGCCGCTTGTTGTGGACATCTATACACTGAAGTCCGGGACATGCCCATCACGGCGGGCACCATTTGCAGTCGCAAAAGGTGCGGAAAAAAACTCGTCCTGCCTCATGAGACACGGTTCTCGATCGGAATTGGCTTCGTCGCCGAAGAACAACGGCACATAGGATGCTAGCGAAGCGCCTTACGGCAGCTGAGCGGCTTGGCGCGAGATAACACGCATCCCTAAATCTTGCAAGGCCTTGATGGATTCTCACCACTCCGCACAATGTCACCAATACAACGGTGTTTCGTTTTTTTGTTTTTCCCCGGACCATTTAAGTTTTGCAAACATCCGAGCGCGGTCCCAGTGCAGCAGACTATAACGGGCGCCGACACCAACGCCGTGTCAACAGCAAGTTGGGAGCCACCCCACAACGGCAATCCATCGGCGATGACCTCAATGCGACGCCCGTCATGTCTGGAGCATCGAGGTTGAGATCTCGGACAAGGACGTTGGTGGCAACTGTAGCGCCAGCCTCACGGCAAACCCGAGCCGCTGCACCCTCGAGCGGACCGCCCCGTGCTCGAAGAACACCAGACCGAGGACAGGCAGCGACGTGGTCACCCAAGACATCGAGCGGCCTCCGGCAGCGGCAACGAGCAGGGGCAAAAGGCAACGGAAGCCGCAAACGACGAAGGAGCAACACCCGAAAGACCGCAGAGTCAAGGACGAGCTCAGGCGCAGTGGGACGGACAGTGAACACCCGGGCGGCGAAAGGGCCGGCTTGAGAGTCAAGGAGTGCGAGCTCGGCAGGACCGACAGTACGGCGATGCTCAGCAGCAGCACGGCCATCAACACCGCGAGAAGCGGGGCGTTGCCAGCCGCGGTGAGGGACATCGGGATCGGGGTGAGCCTCGTCAGCGGCTGTTGCAGGTCCGTGTTGGGGAAGTCAACCCACGGCCTGACCGCGAACCCAGCCTCGGCGAGTGCGTCGGCAGCTTGCAAGAGGTCCTGCACCAGTGACCACTCAACAACCCGGCGTTCATCAAGGGCAGGCACCAATGCGTCGACCAACTGCGCGTCCCGCGCGCGGAGGACGGGAACAGCATCAGCCCAGGAAGCCGATTTTTTGCAGCTCAATGGGGGTTAAACGTCTTACATCCGTTACACGCGGAACGTTTCCGCTCTATACGCTGAAACATCAGATGTTGGGTTCCGACCACCGGTCAGTGGTAGCAAAATTTCGCAGACACAACTCGCATCAGAAGACGCGTGGCAAACGTCATCACATTGTTCGTTACCAAAGATCTTTGGCGAACAGCTTGGCCACAGGGACCCCATTATGTTTTTCGGATGTCGAATCACGTGTCGTGAAATGCGCGCAGGTGCCACGAAAGTCAGTTGCTAGCGACCCCAAGCCGTGGCAGAAACCGTCACTGCAACATTTGATGTATCTTCGCCGTGGTTGCCGTGACAAGATGGAGCGCTGCAGACTGTCCAAGTCCATCCGTACAGAGATGCGAGGCGAGATGCGTCTCAAACGAAATGCAAAGTTGGATTGTGTGCTGCGGGAATGCCGGGACTTGAGCCGATCGGAGTCCGTGTGGCATGATCCGATCAAACCCGCGCGATCTGCTCATGCCCACGATCCCTCCCCACATGAATTTGCTGAATGTCTGTCGGGTATATTCGCTGCAGAGGTGGACGACGGTCGACACGTGTTACCTCACGCCGTTTTCATTTACCGGCTTTCACGATGCCAGAATTGAAACATGCTCTATGCCATTTGCGCAACGCAGATCAGCTGATTCGCAAGGTGTGGTTTTAGAAATGCCATGTTATGCCCCTGATGATATCTTAGTTTCATTTTTGGCGTTGTACAATCGGTTTTTACAAGATGGACGCATGGACCCATCGTGGAAGCATGCAGTATTTACGATGTTGGCGAAGAAAGGAAACAGGTCCAACGTGCAGAATTGCAGGCCTATTGCGTTGTTGAAGGTGATCTACAAAAGTTTAGTCCAAGCTGGCACATGGACGTTTGCAGCCCATTCTAGACCAAGAGCTATCTGTGGAACAAATAGTTGTTCGACCCGGTTTTGGCGTGGATCAGGCATGGTGTGTGTTCGACTGTGTTTGCGCAAAGGCCATCGAATTTGATTGCGAAGTTTGTTTTGCGAGCACTGATTTACGGGAAGCTTTTTATCAAATCCACCATCAACGCTTATTCCGCGCATTGCAAGAGCAAGGAGTTCCCTATGATTATATCGTTTTGCTCAGGACGTTGTATTCACAACAATCTGGGTCTGTCGCCGACAGCCGTGCTTTTCCAATTCAACGCGGAGTGAAGCAAGGTGACATCATCACCCCTATCTTGTTTCATGCTGGGTTAAAACACGCAATCAGGTTGTGGAAGGCGCGTTTGCGAGACCACGGCATCAAGTTAATTTGACCAATATTCGTTTTGCTGACGATTAAATGCTGTATGCCAAGTCGTGGCAAAAGCTTGTTGTCATGCTGGCTGCTGGAGTCATTGAAGATCATTGAAGGTCGAGCTGGCGTCTGTTGGTTTAACGTTGAATGCAGCGAAAACTCGCATCTTCACAACTGTCACTTCGCCTGAGACCTCTTTCATCGACGTTGATGGAGACATGATTGAATTTTTAAGCGACGACAACGCACATTTGTATCTTGGACGGAAACTACACGGGGACCTTCAATGTCGGTCTGTAACAGAACTGGCACATCGCATCAGTGCAGCGTGGCGCAAATCGTCACGGAGCGCCGGCTGCAAACCCAAACAAAACAATGCCGGTCTCAGGGGGTCCCCTTGTTCGACGCCTTCAGCCTGACGGATGTGACGCGTAGTGGTGCCTTGTTGCCACACGAAGGAGGAAGGGCGACCCAACCAAAGCTAAGCAAACGGCGGCGGCAGGAACAGACCGCAATCCTTGCAGGATCGACTGGCGGCTGATGCCGTCGTACGCGGCGGACGCATCCAAGGAAACAACAGTGAGGCTGGGGTCACGCGCGCACCGAGCCTCCACAGCGTGCACCAGCGCATCCAAGCCGGCGCGGTTGCCAAAAGTGGGCAAGCAGCTTTTGCGACTTGTTGGGCGAGTGTGCGTGCGACAATACACCCAACAAAATCACCGATGACAAGGCCCCCGGTGCCGCCGTTCGGCTTATTCAGGGCAACGACACGACCAAGTCCAAACGCAGGTTGGATGCCCGGGGGGGATGCGCGCCTGTGGAGGTCGGGTTGCAACATCAGCGAAAGCCTGCATAGATTCATCTGCATCCAAAATCACACGCAAGATTTCGGCAGTGCAACCCGACGGCCCGGGGGCAGCACCTTTGCGGGGGCCAAGAGGTCCCAGCCAAGATCATCGCAAAAGGAGAAAACGCACCATCACCCAAGGTTGTTCGATTAGCAACCACCGCGCTGTGCCGTAAAAACATGAGCCAAAACGAAATATATCAAAAATGATATTGTAACAATATTACATCAGGAATCATCGACGTCGTGAACACGCAAATGTCGGCGCAACAAGGCGCTTTGCTTTTGATTTTTGGCCCAAGCTGCGGCGCAGTCCAGGCATCACCGGAAGGCCTGTCCTTGAACGATCATGACGCCTCGCCGAAAGCTGCAACACTACACGACTAAGAAACTAGTGTTTGTGAATTGCTGAACATCAAATAATAATTACTCCATCTGTCCACACTCACCTTTGCAACTGTCGCACACATGCACATGCATTGGCCGTGTCTCATGCCATGACTCAGCGGCATGTTACACCTGACAAACTCCGTGCCTGGCCTGAAACCCTTTTTTTTGTTTGCAAAGTGTCGTGTAACGACAGCATATGCACCAGCGCGATTGGTTCGCACAATACCGACAATGCCCGACTGCTTTGGTTTGGTGGCGAACAAATCGCCCATATTCGCCCATCACAGAGTGATTACTTTGACAAGCGGCGTCCTCATTCCGAACGAATGGTCCAGGTTCCCAACAAGCAATGGGCGCCGCACCATGGTCCGACAAGCATTGCGCGCAGCATGCGGGCATGCTGCCAGCCCTCGGTGTGGATTGCACGGCCGCTACGTGAGTAGGTTTTCCAATACCCGACTGGAGCGCCTGCTGCTCCGCACCCTCCGCACAAAAACAGCCACTTGCGTGTGGCAGCGTGCAGCCGCGGCAGCCTCGGACGAGACGCACATTTTTTTCACCTCCTCTCTGCGTCTCGAGCTGCTTTTGCAGGCTGGGCACCACTCAGGCCGTGCCCTCACTGGCTTCACGACCGTCGGCCACTGTCTCTGCCACTCGAACACCTCCGAGTGCTTCTTTTGCGACGGCTCCGTCTGCCTCAGTGACCACCGCTCCGCTTGTGCTACATCCGCAGTGTTGGCGTTCTCGAGCATGCGGGCGCCCGCGTCTGTGCCGGAAAGTCGGCGTGCAAGTTGTCCACAACGTCCGGCTCGCTGACATGAACATTGATGTTCCCGTCAGCGATGCGCGGTGCATTGAGGTCGTCGCAAACGGCCTGCCCTTCTGGCACGGAGCACGCTCGTAAGTTCTGTGACGCGGGAAGGGGAGCCGCAGTCGAGCCGCCACACGCGGCGTGGCCGTCCACGCCGCTGCTCGCCGTCAGCGGTGCCAGACTAGCTTGAAAGCGCACGGCGCGACTCTTGTCGTCATCTGCGTTGAGGACGAGTTGGCGGCACTGTGCGGCCAGGCTCCTTTTCCTCGAGGGCCGGC